CGTTGCGCCTTTGGGCCATTCCCAGTAGACCTTAGTCCATCCGCGTCCCAGCTTCAACGCCTCCATCGCCACCTCCAGTGCTTGTAGTACTTCTCGATTTGATGTCAACCGCTTCTTCCTCAGCTTCTCTATCTGGTCCGGCGTGCGTTGATTGATGTTCTGGATGGACGTGCAGGCCGTACACCGCAGGCTGAACCACATTCTCTTCGGCATGGGTTTTCTCATCTCACTCTTCAGCTTCATGGTCGTCTCGACCTTGCCGATGTCATAGCCGGTCTCCAGCGTCTTGCGCTCCGCCTTCATCTTGAATCTCAAGCATGAATTTGTCAAAGAAGAATCCGCTCTGCAGCAAATCTCCCACAAAGTACTCGAAAAGGTAAAGTCCTGCAGAGCACTCAGAATAGTGCTCACATTGAAGTCTCCGGCCGCCTCTAGCAGCCGCTTCTTGGTCCTGGCGTCCAGGACCCTCTCCTCACTCTCACTCCATTCGCCCCCTAGGCGCTGCCATTCGGCTGCACCTCCTCCTTCTTGACCACCTTCTCCTCCTTGGGTGGCACCTTCTCTTCCTTCGGGTAGTGTTTGTCCTTCAGCAGCTCTTCCTCCTCTTCGGTCTCCTCCTTCTTCTGGGCGACCTTGGCCATGGGGAAGTCCTGCGCGTCCTGGTTCGACTTGTCCATTGTGCGCTTCACGTCCTTGTAGCCGGCCTTGTGTGGGGGCTTCATGAGCCACCACCTTGATCATGGCCTTGATCTGGTTCTTCTCGATCGTGTCCGCCTTCCAGCCATCTGCTCGAAGGCGTGCCAGGGCGTCCACAACGTTCTGCGGGAGAGATCCACGCGGGTCGACTGGCCAGGTGCGTTGGCCGCCGGGATATACTCCGTCCTCAAAGCGCACTTTTGGCATTCTGCCCATTGGCCGAACCGGTTGGCGCCCGTGGATGTCACATGCGCTCCGAAGCACGGCCATGCTGTCTCCTTGCTCCGAGGATCCCGTGCGTCCGGCCCTTGCCTCCGTGTTGTGTCGTACTTCGCCTTGGCTTTCGCCTTTGCTTTGCCCACACTGTGATTCGCCAGTTCCTCCGCCAACGTCTCCCGGATCACCCGACGAAGTTCCTCGTTGACCGCCGAGGAGGATGCCATGCTGCGAAGAAGTCTCCGCTGAGTAAATGGGGCTGGTCCTCGTGCTTGAACCACTGAAAACTTCGCCGCCGTGCAAATGCTGCACAACTGCAACCGACACACCAAGGTGTTGAGCTAAATCTTGGATTGAAGCTTGATCACCTTGGGGGGAGAATGTTGAGGGCGAATATGCAAAACACTCCTCAGGAAAATCGCTGGGCTCATCTGATATGAACTCATGTGACCAGGATAGCTCCAACATCCATGACTCCTGGTTCACCGCCTCGCTACCCCTCGGAAACTGAACTTGACGTGGAATGGGAGGCTCCGCATGTTGTGCAAACACATGTTTCAAATAGTCCATGACCATATGCCGCTTTGCTGTCCTTGTAAAAGTCACCGGCCGACCTTCGACAACGCTTGTTCCTCCCCGGCAACCCAAAATGACATCCAGGTTCTCAAGCTCCTTCATGCCCGTCAAAACAGGAATACCTGGTGATGGCAGGGAGTATATGTCAACCTTCTTTTCCGGGGTGGACAACGTGACCATGAACAAAGCCTGACCCCAGCGACCGCTCCCGTACCGAAACCACGGGCGAACTGCTTGGTGAATGTCCACACGAATGTCTGGTCTGGCTGCCGCTATGGCCGCACACAGATTCTGGACAGCCTGACTTCCTTCGGCTGTTGCCGTAGCGCCAGTATCAATGAGAGACTCTGTAGGTTGAAGTTCCGGATGTGCGGGGCTCTCAGTTGGTGCTGTCCTGGTGCTGCCACCCTGGGCGTGGAAAAATTCCATGTCTGCCGGCTCCTGCAAGTCCACCGTCAACACGTGGTGGGCATCATGCCACTTTGAATTTGGCTTGCCCTTCGCGAACTTGCCCTTGGACTTGCCTCCAAACTTACCACCAAACTTGCCTTTGTTCCACGAGGCTCCCTCGTAGTAGTTGGACTTGTCGTTGAACTTGCCACCGAACTTGCCCTTGCCCTTGCTCTTGAAAGGAAATGTGCTTGTGGCCTTTGGCTGCCTCTGCTGAACGGTTCCTCCCCATCCGCGATCTCGTGCTGCCAATGCCACAGCTTTCCTGGCCTGCATGAGGTTCCGCTCGTTGTCTGCCAGGAGGGCTTCCAGCTCGGTCTTCGTCTTCTCCACCTCTTGTTGCTCCTCTTGTAGCTTGACGTATGTCTCGTGGTCCGCAGGGTTGAAGTCCTCTGGCTCCTCACGTTCTTGCCAGTGATGATGTCCAAGGTCCACCGCGTAGACACCTCCAGGGTCCTCCCACCAGGATGACTCTTCCTCCCAACTCCATGACGAAGGATGTCCACCGCCCTGGTAGGAGACCCACATCCGAGTTGCCGTACTCGTAGTCCCAATCCGTGTCGTAGGCACCGTAGTCCTGGTAGCGCAAGTCCTCCAAGTTGCCGTCCTGGTAGAACATGGGGCCCTTGCCCTTGCCGGTGCCGCCGCTGCCCTTGCGGTCTCTCTCTTCATACATGGAAAGTAAGGCCGCCCGGATCTCGTTGTAGGACAGGCGATTCCTGGTTGCCGCTTTGACCACTCTCCGATCTTCTTCACTGGCTGTAGCCATCTCCAGCAGCAACCAACCACGGATCACGTCTAAGGCCGCGAGTGGAACCAGACCTTTCTCCATCAGCCTCTCCAGCAAACCCTTACCCCTCACCGTCGACTTCTTTCGCGTTGAGGACGACTGTGAGGATGTCGATGTTCTCCGGGCTGTAGGCGTGCCGTCTCCGCGACCTTTACCTTTTCCGCCTCTGCCTGGTTCTTCGTCCGGAGCGCCATCTGCTGTCTCTTCATCACGTGCTCCTTCAGCAGGTTCAGACTCTGCCCCGAGTTCTGACTCCACCTCATCCGCCGGGTAGTACACCGACATGTTCGGATCAATGCCGCAAAAGGCCTTCAACTCGTCTACGTCCACGTCGTAGTTATCAAAGTCCAATCGCAAAAGCCGCTGTAGTGCCTTCAGCATGTCACCGTGCACCTTGTCCTCCCTGATGAGAAATGCAGATACAGATTCGAGATTCTTCTTGTGGAGGCGCCTGTAGTATCCGCCGATCTTCGCACCTGCGTCTGGCAGTGGCTGCCGATTAAGGGGCGACTCCTCTAAGAACTTGATCAGCTTATTAACATCCGCCTCCGAATTGAAATCTTCCGGATCCAACTTGTACATCAGGGCCACCAATGCACTGTGGCTTGATTGCAATGCTTTGCGAACAATGCGAGCTGCAAGTAATGGCTTCTCCTCCTTCTTCGTGCTGCACAACGTCCATTTCACCTCGGTGATGAAATGACTGAAGCTCTCTGCTTTGCCGTCCCATGACGGCGCCCACGTCTTGTCACTGACCGAGGTCCCGTGCTCCATGAGCACGCTCGCAGGTCCCTGATCTTGAAGCTCCACGTGACCAATGTCTCATGCATCCGATGTCGCACCCATAGCGCGCACTGTTTCACTCGCTTGCCGGCTTGGCTCAAATGGCCACTGTCATGAATGCTAAGTTGCGTGTCAATCCATGCAAAGGGGTCCATGCTTTTAGCAATGTGTTTCCCCGCTATAGCCGATTTCGGCTGTCAAGACACAATGATGATGAACATTTGATGAAAATGATGATGATGATGATGATGGTGATGAACAACCATCATCACTCATCATCATCATCATTTTAATCATCATGTTCATCATCATCATTTTCATCATCAGGTTCATCATGTTCATCATCATGTTCATCATCATGTTCATCATTACATCATTTTCATCATCATGTTCCTCATGATGTTCATCTTCACTACTCATCCTCAGCGTCACCAGCAGTTAACAGTCATCACTATGCATCCCCAGCATCAGCAGCAGTTATCATGACGATCATGACAGCGCATCCTCTGCATTTCCAGTCGGGTCTAACGGCACACTTGAAACGTATATGAAAGAAGAGCGCCATGGTTGGAGGAACATGATGATGCAAATGATGATGATGATGCACATGATGGGGATGATGAACATGATGATGATGAAGAACATGATGGAGATGATGAACACCACCATCATCACTTTCATCATCATGTTCATCATCATCATGACCATTTTCATGTTCATCGAGATCATACGCATCCTCAGCATCACCAGCAGTTCACGTTATCACTCTGCATCCCCAGCATCAGCAGTTATCACATCATGACAGCATTTCCAGTGGGTCTAACGGCACACCTGAAAGATGAACACGATGAGGAACATGATGATGAAAATGACAATATGATGATGATGATGATGATGATGATGAACATGATGATGAACATGATGATGATGACACCATCATCACTTTCATCATCATGTTCATCACGATCATCATCATCATGGTTATCATGTTTATCATCATCATTTTCGTCATCATGTTCATCATCCTGATGATAATCATCACTACGCATCCTCATGATCACCAGAATTTTACGTCATCAGTATGCATCCCCAGTATCAGCAGCAGTTGTCATGACAATCATGACAACGCATCCTCTGCATGTCTAGTCGGGTCTAACAGCACAGTTGAAACGTACATGAAAAAGGAATGATGATGATCCGGGTGCTGTGAACCATCACCCCACATCAGTGGTGATAATAATCATCACTAAGACCAGGACAAAGACAAGCCCTTACCATGCGCCTCCCCTTTGGAGAAAGGGGTCGGCGGATTCGGTGTTGGAGTTGAGGTTAGAGGTGGAGCATAGAGATAGAGGGTTGGAGTCAGTCGTGGAAAACATCTGCAAATCCCACCCCAACCCCTCAAACCCCTCCGCGAACAACCGCTTTGAAAACGTGGCTTTGGGGGTCAGCGGCTTCTGGAAAAATAAAGGTCTTGATTCGCGCCAAGGTCCGTTCCTTCCGCGTGGCCCGTTCTTTTGCTCACCTTCTTTCTTGCTGTGCTTCTAGGGTGCCCCTCGGGCTCAAGTGAATCGAATTTGGATTCATTTCGAGAATTCAAGGTTCGAGCTTCGAGGTACGTGTACTTGGCCGCTCTTCGGCACTGCACCGTGGTGCTGATTTGGCTCGGCCCTCGGCTCGCGGGCACGAACCCAAGCGAAGCACTTGAGCTCGAAGCGAGTTCGGAGTCAAACTCGGAGTTTGAATGTGCAGAGAGGCTGGTCATGGCCTTCTCCGTGATCGGCTCTGCGGTCTTGGGCGTATATCTTTGGGTTTTGAGCTCAGACATTTCCTTCCGGGAATTTCATGAGTCTCATTTCCTTCCTGCGAAACGCGCGTAGCTTCGGTCACAGTGTAGGGAGTTCCCACTGTCTGCGTGGACCCCGCGGCTGGGCGCTGGCGATGGGGGCGTTGGAGACCCGAACTGTCGCAGATTCATCCAGGCAACACGACGGCATGAGCCTTGTGGGTTTGCGGAGACCTGACGACATCTCACACTGAGATGACGACAATGGTATAGGCGCACACCGCATGAGCTACATGAGCTGCCTGCAACAGGAGGAAGCCTTCACTTTAACCGGCAATTGTAGCATGGCAATTGCCACCACATTCTGTTGCCAGCCGCTGAGGCCAACGCCGGGAATTTGTCGAAGCACTTGCCAGAGGGCATGGTGCCACCAGAAGGAGCAGTCAAGCGCGGTTTGAGCGCTCCTAGTTTTGAGAGCAAGCAGGATACGGCGAGGACGAGGAGAACGTGACAAAGGCGCAACAATTTCTCAGGTTCGGCGTATAGACTTTCATCATTCTTCATGCTCACATGCCATGACCTTTCAAAGACCTGAATCGCACTTCATCTCTCACCATGTTTGCTGTAGTGGTTTTTAGTCGATTCGGAAGGTCCTGGCAGTGGTGTGTTGGGCCATCGGTGCCATCGCCGTGTGCATTGCCTGTTGCTGCCACTCGAGCATCTCCGCGCCTCGGCCGGACATCTTGGAAGGGGGGAACCGCGTGTTCGGTTTGTGCCTTTCTCATTTTTTCTCCAAAGGGGTTGTCACGAGATTGTCTGCTCACGAGATTGTACGGCTCGGTCAGCTCTTTGTCTCCCCACTTGCTTCTGTTTGTCTCCTGTCTTGTGTCCTCATGCGCTTGCTGGGCCGGATGCTTGCTGTCGCGAGATCGGCCAGCTCTCTTTGCCTCCCCACTTCCCCACTCCTCACGTGCTTGCTGCACTTGCTGGGCCAGCTGGTCTTGTCTCCCATTTGTTTTCATTAATCTCCCTTGTTTTCTCACATGCTTCCTGGGCTGGATGCTGTGACGAGGTGGTCTGGCTCGGTCAGGCTTTCATGCAGTCCGGAGGCTTTCGTTGGGTTTGTTTCCTTGGTTTTGGGGGTGAGTCTGGCTGAGCCGGTTTGGCAGTAGCCTGAAAGGTGTCGGGCAGTAGATGCGCCCATGCCTCAATCAATGTCGGGGGAGCGGAGGCCGAGCGCCAGCCGTTGTTTCTGCGGTGGCGATCGCGGCTTCGGAGGACAGCCCCAGCTCCTGACGGGACCTAAGCGACGCAGAACGGTCGAGGATTCGGCGACTCTGGCTTGCAATGCAAAGATGAGAGGAAGGCCTTTAATAGGGCCGTCTTCAAGTCCTTCAAGCGGATGCAGTCCGACGCCAGCGCGGACCAGCTCTTGCAGAAGATGGACACGCCCGAGTATTTCGGCGACTGCCCGCTTTGAAAATTAGACGGCCACATATGTCGCTGCCGTTTGTCGTCAACTGCCTGCAAGCAGAATAAATGACTGACAGGATCATCCAGGTTGCTGGGTCATCATCATCAGCAACATGACCATCATCACCATCATTGTTGTCATGACTCGTCGTTGTCTTGGGGTTTGCTTGAGGTGTTTTGATTGTCCTTCCTGGGGATGGGGATGAGCGTTCGAAGCCACGATTGGTGTGGAGTTGACTATCATCATGGCTATTTTCACGATCATTTCCATCACCGTCGATATCGTCGGAGCCTTATGGGGGCTGCGTAATCGCCAGTCTGATCGTCACTATAATCATCATCGACTCATCGCTGCGGAGATCACCATCATCTTGTCACCACGGTCATCGTCGCGTCTTGTCTCTTTCTTGTCTTCTCACTCTAGATTTCGGCTGCAACGTTGGGCATCGATGCTAGGTGCCTCTTTCATCTCTTAGCATAAGCTTTCGGATGCGCCGTTCGCAAAGCTTGCGATGCTGGGGTGGCATAGGATCATCATCATCACCATCATCATCATCGTGTCTAGCAATGTTGGGCCCCCTGCAACAAGACTCAGATGTCCCATCTTGAAAACGCCAGGGCGCTGAGTCAAAAGTAAACAGGCAGCGCGTCTCAACAAAGTTTGAGACGGAGTCCGCCAAAAGGCGGGGCGCTCGCCATCGTCCTTGTCATCGCAAACTGCGGTCATCACTTTCTTGCACAGATTTTGGCTGTGATGCTGCAAGGCACCTCTTGCAGCGCGGGGGATGCGTACTCATCATCCTGCTGGCGATGCTGGGAATGCATCAGCATCATCAATCCGAAAGCGGTTTCAGACAAGGGTGTGAATACTGACAGGATCATCCAGGTGGCTGGCACATCATCATCATCATCATCATCAGCAGCAACCATCATCATTGCTACGCTGACGATGCCTAGCCATGATTGTCCTAACAAAGAGACAAACGTTGTCGAGGCACCTCTTGCGAATCTGGGGAAAGGCCAGGTGCCTATCCCAGAAGGGAACTGGTACACTGTGGTAGTAGAGGTTGTTGTTGGTCCCTGGATCTATTCCGGAGGATTGTCCCTGGTGGATTGTCTTGTGGATAATCCTGTAAGCGGCCTGCTAAGGTTCTTTTGCTTCACGCGATCATGAATGATGCAATGATATACAAAAGGGGCCTTGAGCCAAATGTTGCGGGAGATCAACCAAACACAAAACAGACACAAATTTCTTTTGATCTCCAGCACTAAGTATGAAATACTATTGGCTTCATGGCCTGTGGCCGTAGCCTTGATGTATGCCGTAGCCATAATGTATGCCGTAGCCATGTCTACTAAAAATGCCGGATTCATCCTCTTTTCTGCCCGGATAAAATGTCTTGGCTTTCGAAATGGAAAACACTATGTACTGCTTCTTTTTGAGATACCTAGATGTATCAAAGGGTGATGTACAACGCTATGTACACGCGGGACGATTGTGAAACTATTGATCTCTCACTCATGGTATAGTCTTGAAGACGGCGAGGATCAATCATCTGAATTGAGTTCGTGGTGCTGAACGTATGAATCTTCATGGTCAGTCGGATCGACGATACCATCGGCGGCTGCTGTCGGATTGACTGCCATAGTCTCCATAATCATTCCAGGTCGAGTTGCTATAGTCCTTCCACTGCTTCTGATGTCCCCACTGCTTGTTGTAGTCCTTGTACTCCTGCGCGGTCCAGGCTTGTTTCTTCTTGATGTACTCCTGGTATCTCTCAGAGCTGCGTTGCCTGGTTGCAGGTTTGCTGCGGATGTAAACCATGAGAGGACTGTGAGAGTCGGAGTCCTGCGAGCCATTCATGAACATGTCATTGTTCACGTGCTTAAAGCGCTCTGCGGATGAGACCTGGTAATCGAATATGGCCTTGGTTGGATGGTTCCGCATGAATTCCAGTCGTTCATCATCCATGCCGTTCATCTCGTCCTTCCGGAAAGCCTGCTGGATGTTCGTTTTGCCCCATCCAAATACGAAAGTCATCATCACATCTGGGAATGTTCGATCATATCCTGATCCGCGCTTCATGTACAGGTGATGGCGGACAATGGATTTTAGGGCGCACGAAGTCTCCATTGCATACTCCATTCTGTCCACGAGTGGCAAATCTTTCGTTTCATTCCACAGTCTCTGATATGCTCTCATGAGGATGTTCACGAGACCGTTGGCCGGATTGAAGACGTGCTGGAGTTTGCTGTAGGTGTTCGCTGATTTGTTGGCGTCTCCGGTGATCGCATCGCATCGGTACAAAGTCACGAGCGGCATGATTTCATTTTGAAGATCTTCCCTTGCTGCTCCATGGCTAATTGAAGGATGTGGAAAACTCCAATGGTAGCGAATGGGAGATCTGCCCTCGTTATGTGGCGGTAGTCATACTCGTGGATTGACTTGTTGGATGGTTTCGGGATCATGCCACGAAACTCATCACTCTGCTCGATATGGAGAACGACGATCTCCTTGTCTCGGCCATGTCCTTGGACAATGGTGCGTGTTGGCAATTTCGGTCCAATGTACTTCTTGGATTCAGTAAACATGGATGGTCCTGTGGTTTCTTCAGTTCCGAAGAAACATCTGAACATTCCGAATGTGGTTCCCCAATTCTGGCTCTTGGTGGAAATGTGTCTTGCCAGAAGTTCCACTCTTGCAGAAGGTCCGCCACGGACAAAGCGTGCGATCGGTCTGGATGACCGTTGCTTGATCACGATGCCCTTGTAACCGTATCGGATGAACGTCTTGATGAGCTCCCTGGATTTCTCATCATTAGGACTGAAGAATGCGTCTGCTTCATTCAGGCATAAGATGTGTGCACTGCTCTGCATCATCATCTTTACGATCGGTCGATCCTTCATCGGCATGTTGTACACCTCCCTGTTGTCCAGCTTTGGATGCCTTGTGAGGTTTCCATGGTTCAGGGTAAGCGTGTTGATCGCTATGGATGAGGTGAACTCATGCATCTTGAGATAGTCCACAGGAGGACGGTCGGTCGGCTGCATCAGCGATCCCAGGATATCGGCATAGGCTCGTGACCTGAGCTTCTTCAATCCAAGCGGAAGCTTAATCGGATATCCGGATCCTGGTTGAGCTTGCTTGTACTCGTCAATGGTGGGACATTCTCCTCGATGAGGGAAGTAGAATTCTTCTTCTCCGAGATTGACATCGGGATCGACATGTGCCAATGAGGCTCTCTCGCACTCTGTCAAGTTGGGACGAGCTCTTCTTGGATCTTTGTTGAACTTGTTCATGAAGCGGGGGAGGTTTGCCTTGGTCTCCGCGAGCTCTTCCTCTGCGTCCTTTTTGTTCAAATCTGTTTCGAGATAGATTCCCTTGAGTTCTTGGATGAACTCATCTAGGTTCTCTGAATTGTGATATTCCACGATGACTTTTGGCTTGACGGATCTTTCCCCGGAGGGTTCCATCGTCTCTTCCTCAGCTTCGTCCTGATCGGTGGAATGCCGTCTCTTCTATTGGTCTCTGAGGAAGTATCTTTTTCCTTGCTGTGCTTGGTGGAGTTCACATAATTGAAGAAGGCGTCGGCAAATTCACGGATCTTGGTGTCGTACATCTCGTAATCTTCATAACTGAGATGCTTCTTCATGATCCACTTGTTGCTCGCCATGAGGCTGCCATCAGGTTCAAATGCTGCAACAATGTTCCTTGCCTCGATGGTTTTGTCTGTCAACGCTGTTCGCTCTTCGGAGAGTCGGATGCCATAGTCTTGGTCCTTGAGGAATGCAAGGATCAACAGTGCGTCTCTTCCTGCTGGCACATGGGTCAATGCGGCTTCTGACTCCGTCGTCAAGGATGACGTCATCGATGCATGCCATGTGGACGTGCGTCTCCTCGAAGGGTTTGACTGGGATTTCCCAGATTTGAGCCCGTGCTCCATGATGCTGAAGAGCTGATTTCCATAGGTTGCATGGAACATGAATGTGATGGGCTTCTTCGCGAACGGCTTGATTTTTCTCTCTTCTTCAATGGATGGTGGTGCCGGCCTTCGCATCCTGTGCTTGGGCTGAGCTGTGCCTTCATCTTCATGAGGCGCCTCGGATCTTGACGGACGCGGACTTGGCGGAATAGATTCCGTTGGTAGGTCATAGTCCGGTTCGTCGTGTTGAGGCTCTTTATGCTGCTCAGAGTACAGTCGTCGTCCAAAGGATTGGATATCGACTTGTCGTGTGTGTCCGCTGTTGCATC